AAAAAAAAAAGATGGGCGTGCCCGCGTGCTGCAAGCATCCCCATTTGTTGTGCCGCAGAGCCAAACCAACAACAAGTTGCAGCAGACCTTCCAGCGATGCAACTGCAGGCCCACAGCCCAGTGCGGCACGTCAATACTCACCGTGCCACCACGGCGACACGAGCTGTGGAGGTCTAATGAGGCTTCATTGCCAATCTTGCTGGCACACCTTACCTCCGTCCGTAACAGTGCAGCCATACACCCACACACACGTATATGTATATATAAGCGGAAACACGGAGCTCACAGCGTCGCAAACATCATGCATGCTGCAGCACGCTTAGGGAAGCATTACACGACCAAAACGCAGAACACGTGGAGCACACAAGTAGCACCGTCATTGGCATGATCCTTTTTTTTTTGCTTTTAGATTGTCTGTCAGAGAGAAGCAAGAAGAGGGAAAGGGCTGCAGCACGCATACACGGGACTATCAGTACGAACCGCAACGAAGCACTTCTACATTTTTCTTCAGACATTGCAGCTAACAAATAAGCAGAACGGTGACACACCAAAAGGGAGAGGAGGGCGATGAATCATCCAAGGGCACACCCTTGGAGAACTCCTCCCACGCACCCCCGGGCCCCCTCCGACTCCGCTGGCAGAGAGAGAAGCCGCAACAGCTACAGCATCAACCGCCCACCATCCGCGGCCACCATCAGTACCCCCCTTCACTCTTGTTCGCGTACGCATTACGCACCAAGTCCTTTCTTGCCGTGTCGAGTAATCGCAGTGTTAAACTGCTCCTCCAGGTTACCATTGATACGCTTCAGCGTGTTGGCGTCCGCGGCGAAGGTGTCGTGGTGCGACACCTCGCTTTTCCCGCCACCCATCAACCGTGCAAACTTCGCGCGCTTCCTCTCGTTGCCATCAAACACGCTGGTGTGGGCGTACTGCCCAAGATCGACATTATCCTCGTTGCTGGTGTTGTGAATCTGGTCGTCGCCATGTGCATCTCCACGATCTCGCTTTGCGCCGCCCCCTGTCTCCTGCTGCGGGCGTGGGAGGTATGAGCGCAGCGCATGCCTTGCACTCTTGGCAGCGGCTGCCACCTCTGAGGTTGACGAAGAAGACAGGGCCTCTGCTTCCAACTCTTTGAGTGCTGCAACAGCAAACAACAGCAGGCCGTCTTGACGACACGGCAGCTCGTCCGGCTGCAACCCGCGTGCCTCTGCGAGTTGCGCCGCCGCCTCCCGCATCTCCCGCGCAGTGCCCTTGAGTGATGTCATGCTCAAAGACAGGTGAACACAAGCTGCCCGGTGTGTTTGTGTGTGGGACCTTCCTTCCTTTCTTATGGCGTTGTGCAACAGAGGAGAGACCGAGGCAGAATCCGCTTAAACAGCTGGAGGTGATGATGAACAAAAAAGCAATGGGGATTTCTTTTTGTTTTGTACCTTCTTCGCCCTTCAACCAAACAATACACGGGCTGCGTCACGCCAACGCGAATGCAAACAATAACGCGATTCTTCTTCACACCTATTCCATGGGAAAAGAACTGATGTGTCCGCGTCAGACGACTTCTTTCTCTTCCTTTTGGGGGCGAATCGTCCGCATCCGTGAGGTGTCAACCTTGATGCTGTCTGTTGCAGCAGCAACGTCCAACACCACTCGGCCACGCGACTGTGCCAACACCCGGTCCCGCAGCTCTGAGTCCTCGAGGGTTTTGTACTCCTCACGCCGCTGCCGCAGCCGCTCAAAGAGCACGCGTTGGTCGTCATAACTCATCCGCGGCTCAATGCTCGGCGGGGCACCATCCTTCGGGTGTACCTTCACCGTCAGACGGCTCTTCTCGTTCTTTCCAGAGTACTTTGCGATGGTCCCCTCCATTAGCTTGCCACAGAACCACAGCCCGACCTGGTCCTCACGCTGCAGCTCCTGCTTCTTCCACTGTGGGTCAAGGATGGCACGGCAGTGGTAGATAACGAGACGATGGTCCTCGTCGATGTCGGGGTTGTCATGTAGCTGGTAGAGGGACTCAATAGCGGCGTCACGGCCGCCACCAGGGACACTGCATTCCTCGGGGAAGAGATCCTCAGTCATCTTCCGCAGCTTCTCGGCGTAGCAGTCAAACTCCTCCACTGTGACGGGTGTGCTCTTGTCCTTTAGGCGAGTGTATGTCTCTTCAATCATGCACTCGTAGGCTGCCAACGTGTCAACGCGAGCACCAGCAACGTCAGACTTCCACTTTCGCCGCGCCTCATCGATGAGTTCGCGGGCGGAAAGAAGCTGCAGTCTCACCTGATGACGGGCGTTCTGCATGTGGCATATCTGCTGCGCCAGTTCGGGGGAAATGTCCGTTGAGGCTGTGCACTCAAAGGCAAACTCGTCTGGGAACGTTGTGCCCTTCACCGTCAGCAGCACCATTGCTTGGCCCGGCTAAAGCAGTCTTCTTCAAGCAAATGGGGAAATGCGCATACTCGAGAGGCACGTTTTGTCACAACGCCGGGGGGAAAAAAAATGAGAAAGGCAAAAAAAAAAAAATCGAAAACAACAACAAGAACAACGGAGGGACCATAGAAGGTAATTCCGCATCATTTTCTTTTTTTCCCCTTCCTTTTCACCCACCTCTTCAGGTTTTTTCTTTGTTTTCAAACCATTACAGCTCCTGTTGGCACAGATAGCGCAGCTCCTGTCCAAGCAGCGTCCGCCGAAGCGGGTGCGTTGCTGCCGAGGCCTCATTCTCGCGCGCGGACCGCTCGAGCACCACGTTGAGCGCCTTCACCCAGCGGAGCGCCTTCGCGAGGTGCTCAGCTCCCTCCTCTGTGACCCTGCCCGCACCGTGGCAGAGCTGCAGTACAGCCCGCAGGACTAACAGGTGTGTGTCCTTGCACGTAGCGAGAAGCTCCTCCGCTGATTTCGTCTGCTCCACAGAGCTTGTGCTGAGGTATTCCGCAAAGAATGCTATGGCACGGCCCCATTGTTCGTCGCGCGGGTCTTCCAGTTGCAGATCAACGACGGCGAGGCTAAACAATTCTGCAAAGACCGCATCAATGTCAACATCGCCACCGGAGACTCGTAGCTCCTCTGTGAGCGCCTGTAGGAAGCTGAGTCCCTTTTGAAGCACCAAGAGTCGAAGAGAGAGAAGCGCCTCACCCCTCCGCTGCACGTCTGTTGAGTGAGAGAGAATCCTTGCAGCAGCGGACCCAATCATATCTGACGGCAATTCGCTGCGGCTCCAGTCCATGGCGTCGCAGAAGGCTATCCAGCTCTCCGCGTTCGCAGCAGCACCAGAAGAAGTAGCAGGCGGTGCCGATGACGACTGCGGCGAGGCAGTAAAGTAACAGGATGTCATCACTGCTTGCACTGCGTAGCGTGAAAGAGAATTAGGAAGCGTGAGTGCCTCGAGCACACGCTCCGAGTTGGCGTGGTAGCGTATCACCATGTGGAAATCCTCAACGAACCCGCAGAGGTGCTGGACAGCGACCATCCACGTGCTGAGAACGTGCTGCTGCTCACTCACCAGCCCGCTAGCCCGCCAGGTGCGCAGCGCACTCACAGTACACTCGTAGAACGCAACAAAAAGTGCGTCCTCACCCTGGGCGGTGTCCCGCAGCTGCACCGCGCACGCCATGCGCAGCGCCAGCGCCAGGCACCGCAGCTGTGGGCTGTGGTCAAGCGCCACCGCGCTGTCGGGGCCGAGAAGGCGCACAAGTTTCCGCACCGCCTGCGCCACGAACGCGCGGAAGACATCTTTGCCGATCCGCATCACCTGCTCGGTGTGCTTCCAGAGCGTTATCACCGGGGCCGCAAGCACGGCCTTGCTGAGGAAGTGCTCAACGGCGTATGACGCGAGGACGCTCACGTTCGAGGCGCAGAACTTCATCAGCTCGCGCCGAAGAGCATCCACGTTGCTTGCACCCGTCTTCTCCAGAAGACCCAAGTAGTCCGTAATGGGCTCACTACCGAAATTCACCACTGACCCCTTCGGCCTCACTGCGCTAGGCGTGAAGCCCTTGAAGAGCGCCTCCGCGCTGGGCTGCGCAGGCGTCTCGGCCGCGTGCCGCTTCGTCACCTCCGTGTCATCGCGCTTCTTCCGTCCACGCTTCTTGCGCTCAACGGTGACGCTCTGCGAGCTCGACGCTGCAGTGGTGGTACGCAGCGCCCCCGCCCCGCGGACCGGCACCACCAGATGCGGTGTCTTCTGCAACTCCTGCTGGCTCTGCACCTGCCGCTGATGCTGATCTTGATGTTGATGCTGGGCCTGATGTTGATGCTGGGCCTGATGTTGATGCTGGGCCTGATGTTGATGCTGGGCCTGATGTTGATGTTGGGCCTGATGTTGATGCTGGGCCTGATGTTGATGCTGGGCCGGATGTTGATGCTGATCCTGATCTTCCTGCTCATGTGGTTGGGTTTGTACGCCCGAAGGATGCGAGAGATTGGCCGCTACGACAGCCTGTGGTCTCCCTCTTGGTGGACGCGCAACAGCTACTGACGCGGCGTGGCGGCTTCCTGCATCCGCTCTGTACCCCAAACGATACTCAAGCTCTTTAATCGAACCATGAAGGCTGTCAACGAGGTCGTGTAACGAGGAAGGATCGACACCAACAACTGCAGGGGCCGGTGCGGGAGGAGGAGCAACAGGAACAGGAACCGGAGCAGCAGGGACAGGAGCAGGAGCAGTAGACAAACGCTCCTGAAGTTGTCGCCGCAAACCTTCACAAAGCTTCTTCTGCTCCTCAATCTCTTCATGAACCCTGACGAATACAAGCTTGCACGCCTCCTCACGCTCACAAACTTCCACTACAAAGGATTCAAAAACAGACTTCAGCTGGTTGTACCCCTCCTTCGCCTGTCGCTGTTCATCTTGAGCGCGTATCAACTCATCCTTGGTACGCTGCAACTCTTCCTTTAACTTCCGTAGCTGTGCCGTGTTCGGCGTCGGTTTATCACTAGCCTCGCTTCCGTCCCCTTTCGCCCGCTCAGACTCAATACCGGCCGCAGCACCAGTAGTAGCGGCAGACCTTCCCTTACTGCTGGTGCCAGCAACTTTCATCTCCGACGCGACACGCAGCGCCGCGTTGGCCTCCCGCAGCTCTCTGTTCTCCTTCAGCAGGCGCTGCAGCTCCAGTCGGCCGTCATCGGGGGGCGCGAGGGGATCGACGCTCATGTGACACACACACACACACACACACTGCCCAGGTCACTCTAAACGACAGGCGACACCCCGCCACCTTCTCCACTAGGCTTTTTTGGGAGAACAACAAAAATGGTGGATTAAGAAGGAAGCAAACAGCAAAGAGAAAAAGGAGCTTTCAATCGCGAAAACAAAGCACAGGAAAATAAATCTCAATACGGGCGCCCCGCTACAGAACAACGAGCCACGGCGACGCCGTATTTTCACGCTATGGTCGGTCCCCTTTTTTGCCTCACTATGTATCCTCTGTGCAGTGAGAGGAAAGATATTAAGAGGAAATCCACAACGGTTGCCTTCTCGGGGAGGATTAGAAGCAGTAGCAGCAGGAGGACTGAAAGTGGCAATAAGCCCTCATGCACTCCTTTCAATCCGCATCCTTGTCATTGTTTTCACTATCGGGCGTCAACTCGTCTTCTTGTAGTTGCAGCTTGAGCCACAGCCGCTTGTACCTCGTCAAGTGCCGCTCGTACTGCTGAATGAACGCGTCGCCCTGCGCCTGCCACAACGCGATCAGCGCACTATCCTCGCCCCTCGCTGCGTACGGCCGCCGCGTTGTTTCACCACTTGCGTCATGCGGCCCGATGGAGATGAGGGCGCAGCGCTGGCGCTGCCGCTCGAGCCCCACGTCGGCCCGCTGCAGTTCTTGCTCAGCGTCCTCTACAGCTCTCTCCAGCTCCGCGAGGATTGCCTCCTTTTCGTCCATGATGAAGTCCCACGCAACCAGTTCGTCGACGGCACGGGCGAGTTTCTGGATGCGTAAACATTCCTGCAGCGTCTCCTCGTTCGCATCCGTCAACCCCTGCGGCGAATGCATCAACTTCATTTTCTATGACTGTTTACTTTTTTCGTTGTGCATCCAACCAGCAACAGAAACAACAAAAAAAAGAAGGAAAGCAGAAGCAATACGCACGGAAGGGCACACACACACACACACAGAGACGCATCCACAGATACACAACAAAACGGAAGCGAGTGGGACCCCCGCCATCCACCTGTTTCTCTCAGACATATATGCTTTGTCCACACTCCATCAGGCACCTACCTCAAGCACTACTGCACCACACATTTATAATGCTACACGAGTAGACGCATGATGTCATGCCTATCCTCTACTCTTCCACACAGCACCATTCGCACACAGAGAACGAGGAGAAAAAGCGAGACGCCCATCTCGTACGTGGGCGAATGCACTCCCCGAACGCTACATGTAAAGCAAAAAAAAACGAAACATTCCCCGAAAACCCATCCCAGACAACACCAGTCCTATCACTACAACTAATGCCCCATACTACACTACATCACCTGGCTTCCTCATGCGAGTACGGAACAACCAGTCATCGTATATCTTCCGCTTCTCCTCAACAAAGTCATTCGGGTAAGGTGTCTCCCGGATTGCGGCATTCCCGGTAATTGCCATGTAAAGCAGCGCCTGGTTGAGCTCCTCCATTCGAGACATGGCAAATTGCTTGTTGTACAGGTGGCGGCAGTTCTTAGCAGCATTGTACTGTCCTTCTTTCACTATGCACCGCATTGTCATCTCGTTAACCAAGTTGGCGTGGGCCATATACACGTCACGTTCCCGCTCCAACCAATTCTTGTATGCTAAGTAGTGGTAATAGTCATTGTACTTTCCGTCGACAGGGGGCGGCACTTTTGCGTTCACGTACTTTGTCCGCGGCCACCGCCACGATGCCCACCAGTACTCCTCCGGGCACGGATTCGGCCTCGTATAGGCGTCCGTGTAATTGCGCGGGCGCAGCGGAGCAATGGGACTCGTGATGTAGTCAAACCAGCTGTCGTACTTGCGCTCCGGTGAGCTACCGAGCAGCGGCATGTCGGGGTCCTGCCCGAACTGCAGCTGAAGCACCCGCGAGAAACGCTCCAACACACTGCGCGGGGGCGGCATTGGCTTCTCGCTGTCAAACGCGGGCAGGTTGTCCCTATACTCCTCTGTCGCCATGGATGGCATGGGGATGCGCTCAAAGGGCGGGCGCTCGCCCTTGTACGCGACATGCGGGGCGTCGTCGTGGCCACCATGCGCAGCGCCATGGCCAGCGGTCATCTCGGCAGACCTACAGGCACACACACACACGCACAGAGACTCGGCCACTCGACCACTCGACCACCACTCACACAAGCAGAAACAACACAAAACCACGCTCCTACCTCGCCCGATACCCGTACTTCTATCCTTCCACACCCCCAGATGGCCTTACAAGCAAAGTGCGAAGAAAAAAAAACCGGCAGATACATGTAAAATTAGCAGACCCAGTGTACAGCAGGACACACACAAGACGCATAAATCAACAGCTGCCCCATATCACGTCTCTGGTGTTATCAAAATTTTCTCGCTCACCTCCACCTCAACGAGAAAAAAAAAGAACACACCCTAACCCAAAAAAAAAGCTTTTTGCACCCATTCCCAATAATAATAATAGAAAAAAGTAATAAAGAGCGAGGAAACACACAAAACAAAAATTAAGGCTGGAGTTGCCCAGGACACTCAGATATTCCTACATGCCGTCCCAGGGACTCAGTCAGGGTCTACTTCACAACATGCTTGGACTGCTATGACCCCAAACCGAACAGACAAACCCCATCCGCACAAACAAACACGCATCAATCAATCAATCCTTCAGACACCAAGCAACCCAGAAACCGCAAACAACACACCATCGGCTATTTTTGCTCCCTACTCACAAACAAAAAGGGTTCACTGCAGAACTGTAATTATTCTCCCACCGACACTATCACATGCCACCACGGAGACGGAGCACAAGGTGCAGCGTCGACTCCTTCTGGATATTGTAGTCCGCCAGCGT